CGTACCGTGTCGAATCGTACGGTGTGCTATTCTTGCGGTGTCCAATCGTACTGTGGTCAATCGTACCGTGTCTAATCGTACGTGTCCAATATTACGTGTGCAATCGTACTGTGTCCAATTGTACCGTGGTCAAATGGACGTCACCCGTTGCAATCCAGAGGCACGTAGTGTTGCAATCCAGAGGCCTGATTGGACAGAGCAGGCAGCGCCACGTCGACTGAGGGCTGATTGGCCCGGACCAGCCATTGAGCAGAACAAGGAATCGGTGCGTACCAATTTTACAGGTCACATTCCAAAAGTCATATCGATAACTGCGAGGCGGATTCGTCATGGCCAGTAGGTATTGCGTATCGAACCAATCTCAGGTAAGTGTTGCGTGATCGTAACGAGTCTTACGGTGAGGACTGCGTGATAAAGTTATCACTGACAATTTGGCAAGTGGCCAGAAAAGACAGTGCGGCCGGACTACACATTCCGAGAGCGGTGACAACTGGCGTAACAAAGTCGTACGACACAAGTAAGTTAATTACAACGAAACCTTGTAGGGGGGGGGGGGAGAGGATAGGGATAAAAAACCGACTGGCGACCGTGATAAATATTCCATTAAAAACGAACAGGCCGAGCTGCACTTAAGTGCAACTCCGGTCACAGTGGTAGTATATGCATTTCTACTTCGCATGTCGTAAATAATAATCCTTTCGGATAACCAGGGGACTTGGAACTTTGGATAACGAACCGGGCTAACTAATTACGCCGGTTAATTTTCAACGATTGAAACAATCGCGGTTAATTAGTAGCAATCAAAACCAAACAAAAGAGAGAAAATAAAGTTGAAATTGGCGACCGTGACAGGACGATACTAAAATTCGCAAATTCCGGTTGCGATTTCCGCGTGTCGTGTTTACGAAAGGATAGCGTGCGGAATTTAAAGAAAAAATTACATTAAAGGCTGCGAAGGCCGAAAGACATCACGAGTTATTGTTCTGCGGGGATAGCAGAATAAGAATAATAAATGAATAAGGTGTTCATGAACTGAAGTAGAACGCATAATTGTTATTTCAGGAGCACGTAATATATAATTATGAATAAACAAAATCGCTAACGATCGGTATTGGTGTGGAGTCAGATGTTTCTATATTAGATAGCAAATGTAAAACGAAGCTAGAAATGAAGGGAAGGTTTTGCTAAGAATAAGAAAGAGATAAAACAAATCCTGTTCTAGCATAATTGTTCCATTTTTAATAATATTGAGCATTAAGATTTAACCGTAGATCGAAGTGAGTGCAATTTAGGCAAAAAAGGAAAATAGAAATAAGCGGTTCTAGAGAATATAAGGCCGCAAAGAATGTTTACGCAAAAGTAGTAAAGGGATGTGGCAAAACAAATTGTTGTAAACAAACAAATGTCAAAGGCATCCACTAAGGCGAATAAACATAAGATCTTTGCAAATGAAAGGTTTTTAAACGTATTTCATTCAAAATTAGCGCTTAAAAATAATTAATGCAAAATTTAAGTAAACAACCAAAAGAAAACAAATACCACAATAGTGGAAATATTAAGGAAAAATTCTGGTAGTAGAGGTCAGCTGGGACCAGGAACTAACAGGATAAGTAAAAATTTGTGATTAAAAACCCAATAATAAAAATTTTTTGTTGTTGTTTAGACAATTTGTTGAAACCTTAAGTTAAAAAAGACAATATTGAAATTTCGAAGTTAGACATCAGAAGAAAGCCGATAAAAGGAAAAATTGCCTTTAAGGAGGAACTTTATGGAATGCAATAATAATAAACAAAAGGTAAAAGATAAAATTAAGAGCTGAAAATCAGTGGTGTAATTTACGGGAACATAACGAAGCACGTAAATACCGAAATATTGATAAAGGTTTGAGTAGAAGAATTTAAATAAATAAATAAACAGAAAATTTGTTTTAGTTATAAGTGAAACAACAAATCACTCCAAAATAGAGCAAAAGATAGTCAGCTGATAGTGATTGCGGAAGTTAGTAGACAAATAAAAGAGGGAGAAAAAATTTATTAAAGAGGATTTGTTGACTAAATTGACTATTGAAACGTCAGGAAAGAGCAGCGATAAAAAAGTTTTCGATAAAACTGCCCTTTGTTCAAACAGTTCCGAGTTGCTAATCACGACAAGCAAATATCAAGTGTCTAAGATTCGGAAAGGAGCGTATGCATAGGGTGACTCGGGTAAAAGGGATCATCTGGTGGCGTGAGGCCGGAGCTAGATATTATCGCGTGAATGCAAAGCAAATGTAGATTTTTGGCATGTATTGACGCTGTAAAGATAAAACAAATTCAGAAATAGAAAACTATTTGAATAAATAACTAGTTCTTGCGGTTAGAGCGGGGCTTGTAATTAAGAATAGTGCGTACGAAACGTTAGTTGAACAAAAGCGAAATCGTAGTAACCAAGCGTTCACAGAGATCTCGGGTGCTAACTGAGAGTTATGCCCTTTGAGACAAAGCGGGTAATGAGAAGACGGAACGTTGGAAAATCTCAAGAAATAGTCACATCTGAAGCATCAGCAGACACGCAGGAGTCGGTGCAAGCAGACACAACATCAGAAGAGGAAATGTCACTGGTACGCACACCGCCAGCTAACGCAAGCCAGGTGACACTGACCGGAAACACAATGGCAGAGCAAAACACGAAGCAAGTCGAGGAATTGCGCAAAGAAATAGGCGAAATGAGAGTATGGATCGAAGAGCTTCGACGACAAAATGAGGAATTGAGGCGAGAACAGGGAGTATCACCGCGAACGCAGAAGGACCCTGGCACACAAACACTTCCTGGATTAAGATTACCGCGAGGAGAGTGGCTCACTAACCCATTCCAGGAGCTGAAATATAAAGGAAGAAAAGATGAGATAAATCCAGTCAGATTTATTTGTAGATTCGAGAGGATTGCGGAAAGAGAGGCCGGGACAAGATCGATTGTATTATTTCGGTACATGTCTCAAGGAGGAGACAGCGGCCTGAATGGACAATCGAGACTTCAACGACTACGAAGAAGCTAAAACAGCATTTTTGGAGTATTTCTGGGATAATGTAACACAACAACAGATTCGATATACACGATAAAATATACACTGGAAAATATAACCCAGCCAAGGACGGATCATTGGTGGAATACGTGTTAAAGCATGCACGCCAAGCAAAAGTATTTACGTCTCCAATGGATGAGCAAGAAATCGTCACAAGTTTAGCGAGACATTTCGATGACTCGATAGCAAGAGAGTTAAGACCAGCATGGGTCAAATCCGTGGAGCAAATAACGGAAATTTTGCATCATATAGAAACGGAGAAGAAAATTCGCAAGGATGCTAAGAAGCGAACGGAAACCGAAGCGACGGATAGGAAGAAAGACGATTTGAAAAGAAATGAAAATAGAAAGCATTTAGCCGTAACGACAGGTTAAGGCGAGGACTATGCGGAAAAGAAACGAAACATCAGATATTACAGTGAATCATATCGTAGGGAAGAAGATATAAATCGCAAAAGAGAGTCCGATATCATCGAAATCGCAGAGCGGACGGAGGAAGTGATGAAGCGTCAAGCGGTGACGAAGCCGTAAACAAATCAACACTCAAAAGGAAGGAAGTGAAGGACAATTCTACAAAGGATAAAACTTCTGAGAAGAAGGGGTTAGACCGGCGAAGTCGCACAAAAGTTGCAGCTATACAATTAGAAGAAAAGTCCGAGGCATCAGATATATCGGATGATCAAATAAGCATTTCAATTGTTCGAACTGAAGAGATAATACGAGATGTGGACGAATGGTGCACGGAACAACAACAAATCTCGAAAAAACCGGATTTATTCGTGGAAGTGAAAATTGGACCATGTCTAATACGAGCACTTATAGACACAGGAGCACAAATCTTGATGATAGCTCAGGATTTATGCGAGGAATTACGCGGAAAAGGAGCCTTAATGACGGAGATACCAATTACGAAATTTCCAGTGCGATGAGCTTTTTCGGATAAAGGAGAAAGAATTGCATACAAAATGTTTACGGAAATAGAAATAGAAGGTAAGAAATGTAGTGGCAAATTTTATATCGCAAAAAGATTACTCTATAGGATGCTACTAGGAATTGAATTTTTAACGGCACATCGAGCAATTATAGATTGCGCAACGAATCGCATAACACTACAGTTGAATGAAGCTGTAAATGTAATGTCAGTTAAGGAATTGAGTTTCCAGGACGCACTGCAAAACCTGGAAGAACTGATAACTGAATACAACGAACTGTTCACGCAGGAAATCGGGTGCGTGAAGCATTACAAACATAAAATGGAAATGACGACTAACGCGTTTAAATCCAAAATTTACCCGATTCCGGAGATACACCGAGACAAAGTGCTGAAACACGTTGCAGAACTGGAGACCGCGGGAATCATAGAGAAGGCAGCTACGCAGTATATTAATTCATTAGTTGCTGTTGTGAAAAAGACAGGAGAAATTAGACTTTGTCTAGACGCACGTGAACTGAACAAGCGAATGGTCAGCGATCACGCACAACCTCCAACAATAGACAAAGTATTCCGGAGAATCGGGCATAAAAAATATTTTAGTACACTGGATGCTACCAAGGCATTCTGGCAAATTCCACTAGAATCCAGCAAGAAATATACAGGGTTTATGGTAGCAAATCAATCGTACGTTTTTCGAAGAATGCCATTTGGATTAAAGACGGCCGGTGCATCTTTTACGCAAGCCATGAATCTGACTATGGAAGAGGAAGATTCAGAATTCTTGATCATATATTGATAATATATCTGGATGATATTGTTGCGCTCGCGGCGTCGGAAACAGCTCTCACGCCGGTTTCCGCGATCGCGCACTTGTCCGCGGAAATGAGAGAGCGCGGTTTGCTATTAAACTCTTTATTGCAACAGGGATCTCAATTAGAAATACAAGAAAACGGACGAGCCGTCCGAAAACGCAACGTGACAGATCTCGCGACTCTCTAATACAACAACACGCTGGTCGCCCGGCAACGAACAGTCGCGCCGAGCGCACGCCGTTCAGGCGGCTCCCGCGACACATACACGGTGCCCCTCGCGTAACAATATATTAATACCCTCAAACTCATTGGAGGAGCATTTGGAACATTTGAATATAGTGTTCAAGAAACTGCAAACAAAAGGTTTCAGATTAAATCAGAATAAATGCCGATTCATGAAAACGGAAATAACGTTCCTAGGCCACACTTTCAGCGAAATAGCGGCTGAGCTAGTGAGTGAAACAAAACAGGCAGTGATCAATTTTTCGAGACCGAAAAACAAAAAGGCTTTGCAGTCTTTCTTAGGGCTCGTAAATTGGGAAAGAAGATTCATAAAAAACCTAGCACGAATAACCAAACCTTTAGAGGAATTACTCAAAAAGGACAGGAAATTCACTTAGACAAGTAGGGAGCAGGAAGCGTTCACGGAAATTAAAAGAGCGTTTCAGGACGCAGAAAATTTTTGTCTCATCAAACCAGGACTTGCGTTTGGGATTTTCATTGATGCGTCAACGCATGGATTGGGCGCACGTCTCTACCAATACGATAATGACGGTAAAAGATACACGGTAGCATACGCAAGCCGGAGCCTGAAGGGAGCCGAGACAAATTTATACAGTTACTGAACTAGAATGTCTAGCTTTGGTATGGAGCTTAAGGAAGTGGCACATTTTGCTTATGGGGCGCCAAGTGAAAGTACATACAGACCACAAAGCATTGAAATTTCTCAGTTCATGCAGACAAAATAGCACGTGCATCGCAAGATGGTTTGATTTCCTTCAGGAATTTGATTTGGAAATCGAACACATCCCAGAGAAACAAAACACAGTCGCGGACACACTATTACGCATGCACGCGAAAGGATCAGCAAATAAATGCGATGAGAAGGCAAAGGTCATCGGGATGATTACCGATTGTACGGAAGGAGAAGATACAGCAGCATGGTATGACCTCATCAAGCAAGCTCAACATTACAAGAGAATTGCGCAACATTACAAGAGAAAATCACACAAGACCCGGAGGTTTTCTATGAGCGTAATGGTTTAATACGATTTCGGAACGCGAACGGAAGAGAAAGAATTACAATTCCGGGTGAAATATCATGGAAATTGATTAGGAAAATACACAAGCTACTGTTACATTTTGGAACAGATAAGACCAAAGATTTTGCAGAGAAATATTTTATAATACGAAACTTGGACAAGATTACGCGAGATGTAGTGGCATCATGCATCACATGCATCGCGACTAAATATTACACCCGACTAACCGTGGGATTTAGTTATTATGAATTACTAGAAATCTCAGAACATACGGTTTCAAATGATATTTTCGGACCATTACCAACGGATGGAAACGGCTATCAATATATTTTAGTACTACTCGATCACTTCTCAAAGTTAACAAAGTTCTACCCGATGAAAAATCAACGGTTAGATACGATCATTGAAATCTTACAGGGACAGTACATTCCAGAAATAGGAAATTTTGACGGACAAAGGAGGACAATTCACTGCATTTCGGTGGATAAATTTTGGGGTAGCGAACGGCATCGTAATCCGACACACGTCACCATATAATCCTCAATCAAACCCAGTAGAAATGGTCATGAGGGAATTAGGCCGAGTAATACGGGCGTACGCGTATAGACGACAAACGCGATGGAAAGAGATAATCCTCAGACTCGAGAAAGTAATAAACGCAACGGCACATCGCAGTACAGGATTAAAGCCGATTGACTTACATGACGACATAAACGAACCATTGAGAATCAATGAGCGATTACAACCAAGGGACAAACCAGTTTTAGAAAGACAGGAAAAGATAGAAATAGCGAAGGCAAATCTGCGGAAGAGAGCAGAGGAAAGAGCGAAACAGGCAGACAAAAGGTTAACGGCACCCGTTTACCAAATAGGGAATCGAATCTGGTTGCGGGTACATAAAAGATCGGATAAGAGTAGGAGCGTCGCAAAAAAGATGTTTCCAATTTATGAAAGATCGTATCAAGTCGCGGAAGTAGTTAGGCCAAACGTGTACCTAATAAAGGATGAATATGGGAACATTATGGGAACGTTCAATTCTAGACAAATAGGGCCACACAGGGAACCGCGTTTCCGATTCAACGAAAATCTACAGGGGACAAATTGAAAAATTAAAAAATCGAGTCTTCTACAGGGAGTCGACCAGTATCTTAAGTTACGAACACGAAACTAATGACACTTATGTTTACAGATATCGACAAACAATGGCGGATGAAAGAGCTTCGGCACACAATTTCAGCGTATATTACGGACGTTACGTGGACTGATGACAGAACTCAGCGAGGCACTGGAGGAGCTAAAAGAGATACTTGACGAAGTACGGCCTCTGACGGAAGAAAGGGAAGCCCTAACGGCGCAGATCCAACAGATGAGAAAAAGGATCCAACAGGCGCGGAAATGGAAAACGAGGTTGACCATGGCACGGAACGAGGAGGCAAAACAATTGGGAAAGCTCAGAGCCAAATATGAGAAGCTGGAATGCGAGACCAAGGAAGAATTTGAAAGAATTATCGCTAGCCTGAATTACGAGCAGTATGAGATCTACCAAAGGTATAATACCACAAAACCACGTCAAGGGGAAGACAAAAAATTGTCACTAGAAAAGAAAAACCCAGACAAAAAATCACAGCCAAAGGTAACGTCGAATGTATTGCTATCGCCGAAGACAGGAGGAAAGATAAGGGAAAAATTGGCACGAACAAGCGCCAAAAGGAAAGAATCTCAAGCAACAAAACCTTGTCGGAGGGTAGGGATAAAAAACCGACTGGCGACCGTGATAAATATTCTATTAAAAAAAAACGGGCCGAGCTGCACTTGAGTGCAACTCCGATCACACCATGGAGTAGAATTCGCGGAAGGGAAATTAGCGTCTGCCAATTACAAGATTGTTTCCCATAGATTCTTTTGTTGTATCCATCTTAACAGTGTATATTATTGGTTCGCACAGATTATTTTTCCGCGTTCTTTGCAGCATGGGACATAAGGGATACAAATTCATGCAGATCGAAATGAGATATACACACATACACTATCAAAATTCAATATTCGTTAACAAGTGCATGATCGGCGTTAAAATGAGGTCTGAAAACTTGTGTGTTATTATTTATAATTTAATAAACGCATTTAAACTAAGTTTATGTACAATTAAAAAGCAAAAACTGCTTCGTAAAAGTGCAGAAGTATATATACTGTATAAAATAACAAAAAAAAAAAAGAAAACACGACAATATATTGGGTGCGACCTATATTTAGTAGAGAACGAAGATTGCAACAAGGAGCAAGTGAAAATCTGGTGAAAGAAATGCTGGCCGAAGATATAGAAAAATATATAGATTATTTTAGAATGCTATCGCAATTATTTGAGGTATTATTGACATTAGTTGGACCAATCATCGTGAAAGAGAATGTTGTTCGCGAACCTATTTCACCTGCCACTCGACTTCATATTACATTACGTTATTTAGCATTAGGGGACAGCATGAAATCCTTGTCATATGCCTTCAGAGTTGCACACAACACAATCTCGAAAATAATATCCGAGACTTGTACAGCTATTTGGAATTGTCTGAAAGATTCAGTATTTCTCCAGAATAATGAAAAGAGTTGGAAATCTGTAGCTAACGACTTTCAACGATTGTGGAACTTTCCCAATTGTATTGGGACCATTGATGGAAAACATGTTCACATCCAGGTACATACGTGACGGAATTCTAAATTTATATAACATCATTAACAAATCTTTATTAATAAAAGAGAAAAAGCTTAAATATCAAAATATTTGTTTTATATTTAATATAAATAATGAATATAAATTATAAATTTTCTTTTGAAAAAAATGTGTTCTTGTTATAGGCTTCACTAAATAGCGGATCAATATATTATAACTACAAAGGCTATCACAGCATTAATCTTCTCGGAATCAGCGATGTACACTATCGCTTTACAATAATTGATATTGGTGCGGAAAAAAGATAAAGCGATGGAAGAATTTTCCGCAACAGCAAAATTGGAAAACGAAGTTAATGCGTTCAAACTACCAAATCCAAGACAGATTGAAAATAGCGGACCAGAATACTATATGTACTAGTAGCGGATGAAGCTTTTCCATTATCAATGTACATAATGACGCCATATCCGCGAAGTGGAAACCTCAATATTGGGAAAAAAGTTTTTAATTATAGACTTAGCCGCGCAAGAAGACTATAGAGAATGCTTTCGGCATATTAGTGACTCGATGGAGAATATATCAAAGGCCAATCATTGCAAATGTCAGCAATGTACGCAAAATTGTACAAGCAACTTTAGCACTACACAATTTTATCTTACAAAATGAAGAGCAATTAACTGGAAAAAAATCATATTTATATATAAGTACAGAAGATGTACATATATGTCGTGGTATTCGCAATATTCTACTTTGTAGAAGTCGAGGTAAAAATAATGCTATTGCTGTCAGAGAAGGATATTTGTCATATTTTCAAGATACTGGTGCTTTATCTTTCCAGTGGAAGAAAAGCGTTGCAAAACGATTTTTAATGTATTTATTTGTTCAAACAATATAAATAGTACTGTAAGATAATGTAAAACATAATAGATTTGTAAATCGTAGATTACACTCATAAATAAATATGGCCAAATATCATCTTTATTTAACTTATTCGTAAAGCTTCCCGCACAGCATTTTTAAATTCAGATGCATAGCAAATACATAAAATTTGAAATATTACTATATAGCAGATATGTAACAATACATGTGTCATATACCAGATACAAATACTGATGAATGTCCGCGCTATAGATACGTAACTTACGTTACATATCAGATACATATGACAATATATATTCGATACGTGTTAAATACATAAATTATATATTTGATACGTATTTGTAATATTACAACTATGAGTTTAAAATGTATTTGTCATATATCCATATATATTATATTTTATATATATAATGTAAAGTTTAAAGTAATAAAAATGTTTTTATACTAAGTATATTTTTAAAAAATGTTAGCATTTAAAAATAGATATAAATATTAGTTAGTATGTATAATTACATTAATAAAATATATTAGTGTAATTACATCAGTAACAAAAATATTGTAATCAATAAACTAATATTTTTTTACATCTAATATTTCTAAATGCTAACACTTTTTTATTTTAAAAATATACTAGTATAAAAACAGTTTTATTATTTAAAATTTTACATTATATATATATGACGTATACAGGGCATTTTATTTTGTTTCGGAACAACTAAAATAAAGTTTAAATTTTACATTTTATTTGTTTCCAGAACAAAATAAAATAAAAAAAGTTTGAAGAAATGCTGACATATATAATATATGGTATTCTTTTTATATATTTATAAAATATTTTCACAGTATAAAATATTTTCACACGTGAGTATATTATATCTTTTAGTTTTTTCGAAACTTATAATCTAACAATAAGTATAAAAACTTTTTAATGATTAACGCAAAATAAATTATTTATATTAAAAATTGCACAAATTTTTTAAAACAAAACATCTACTGGCAATGTAATATCCCAGGCAACCAGCTGACGTTATAATGACGTTAATATAAAGTCAGTTTTTGACCAGTTCGACGTTAGTTTATGACGTGATATTAACGTAATGACGACGTGAGTTTGTCTCGTCAAAAATGACTACAGGTTAATGACGTTTACTTACGTNATTAATCTGACGTAACNTGATTAACGTGACATCCCACATAGCACGTAATATTACTGCAATATCACACACAATATTGCTTTTTTATTGCAATATTACACTCTAATATAATAGAAATATTACCGTAATGTTAATGTAATATCNCAATAAATATTAAAATGTCCGCCAAAATGCATCACAGTAATATTACAATGATATGTAAAAAAAACTAATGGCACATTGTAAGAGGGGAATTAATTTGAGATTTCACTCGAATTAATCTTTGGAGTCTTGATTCAGTTTGTCGATCAACTAATTAACTCAGTGAAAGATATTAAGTCCGGAAAAATTAGGTTCGGAAAAAATCCTGAGATGAGATGGTGAGATTTGAACTCAAAACCTCCAAATTTACAGCCACTGCACTCAGTCCGCAAGACCACTTGTTCCTTACTTAAAATGTATTTCTTTTCTCTGCTTATTCTCAAGCTATTCTCACACACAAGCTATTCTACGCATTTCGTTTATTACTTATTTAAATTATTATTTTATTAAAAATATTGCAGTGCAATATTTGTAATAAAAAAAATAATTTAAATAAGTAATTACAAATATTTCACTGCAATATGTTTAATAAAGTAATAACTTAAATAAGTAATTGGTATTGAAATAAGAGGCGTTACTGAACAAATTTGCCAGGTAGAATGCAGATGTATTATGTTTCAAAATTAGTTACAAACGTTTCGACTACAAAGTTTTAGTCTTCTTCAGTGTTCTGTGTAATGACAAAATTCATAAAAATAAAATAAAATAAAATATTTATAACAAATAATACAAAAAATATTGTTTCAAATAAGTAATAAATTAAAAATATTGCAGTACAATATATTTTTAATAAAATGCCTGCAACAATGGATAAGAGTATTTCTCTTATTATTAGTATTATTATTAAATATAATTTATAAAATACATTTTTCAGCGAGAACATTTTTTATTAACATGTACTGATTATTAAAGTCAATTTTTAATAAATATATACCAAATGATATAGAAAAATATGTACACATAAAAATATATACACATGTATATGTATCAATTTTATTATATAATAATAATTGTATTATGTAATAAAAATGTTATACACAAACAAAGTGTTTTTTGTTGATATATCACATTTTGAAAACAAAGCATTTATGTTTAAAACAAAAGTTGTTAGGTTTTTACAACAACGTAGCAAAATATATATATCATATTATATATAAGATACAATACACACACACACACGCACTCACACACACACATAATGTATGCAACTTGCTAAATAGTAAATAACATTATTGTAATAGTAAATAACATTAAATGACATCTGTAACGTTCATAAGCCATAATAAAAACCATTATTGATATTTTGCTACTTAAGATGCAATACAATATTACCGTACTATTTCAATATTATAAATGTAATATATTGATTTTATTATTGTAATATTGTATTGGACAATATAATATCTAATATTACTACTATATTGCAATTTTACTGTGATATTTCCGTAATATTACGTGCTATGTGAGATCTTACATATAATACATAAATATATACTCAAAAACAAAGTTTTATTACAACCGTGTTATTTAAATAACGTCATTATGATGTCTTACTCACTTATTTCAACTGACGTCACTCCAAAGATCAATAGTTACATCATATATGACGTATATGTGTGACGTATATACTGACGTCATTGTTATGACGTTCAAAATAACGTCAGATTTAGGTCATCATCACTAATTAGTGACAAAAATCACGTATATTTACGTCATTACAACGTCAGCTGGTTGCTTGGGATATATGTTATATATGTAATACATATGTTATATGTAGTTCAATAAGAATAAAATTAAAAAATAAACTTATTATAATAAATAAACAAAAAATGAAGCTCTGATGTTTGTAATAATGTACGCAAAGTTTTTCACTATTCATATTTTCATTTGTTGAACATCATTCTTAGAGATCTTGATTATCTTCATCTAGAACATTATTAGTTTGGTTTCTTTGTTTGTTTTCTTTGTCTCTGAAACTATCAATAAATTTAATGTTTAATACGTTATATAGTTATTACATATAAAAATATAATAAACACAAATAAAATTTCTAGAAACAAATTATATAGTTACAAGTTAAATCTTTNAATATTTGTTTAAATATGTGTACTTTGAATATATACATTAAATGTATACTTTGAATATAAAAACAAAATACTGAATATCAAAAAAGTATTAAGAACAAATTATGTTAATTAAAAAACTATTTCAACTGATATTATATAATTTCTATAATAACTATTATTTTTAGACAAAAATAAAGTAATAAAGTAATAGAGAATTTGTTTTTAGGCTCTTGAAGTTTATAACCTAAGTCAAGAGGCACGGTAGTGCCTCGCGCCAAGTATATGCGCAAACGAAGTGCGCGCGCGCTGCGCGAGGTACTCCGTGCCTCTTATACGCGAAATTTAGCCGAGAGCCTTTTCGAGATTTTCCGACTTCAACAACGGCTAACCCGGTCGAGTTAGTACTCAATCGAAAGCTGAGATCGAGGCACGAAAAAAAGTATTACGCGGTTTTTTTCTCCGTGCCTTTCCAACGGAGATATCTGGATTCAAAGTCCGAAATGCCGAAAAACTAGGTTCTAAGAATTTGTCCACGTCGTCGGACACGGATTTTCGTCAGCCACCAGAGTGCGTAATGTTTGAGCGTACTTCACCTCTTGTCGCCACCAGGTACAACACTTTCGTGTAGATATAGGCTGCGTTCCGANTTACGCATAATATGCGCGCATTTATCAATAGTACACGTTACATATAGTATAGATAGTATTAGATAAATACATGGATATGCGTAAGTCGGGACGCAGCCATAGTCTCGCGCCAAGTATAGCGGTAGAACTGATAGTAAACATTTTTTGTTTAACCTTTTCGCTCCGGGGATTTTTCCTTTAAAATTGACCTCGCATTTTAGCTGAATTTCATGACTTAAATAAATGAACTTCTTATGACAAGTCGCCACTCGGAGTGCTGGTCCATATATGGACCACTCCCGGAGAGAAAGTTAAGGCTAATGTAAAA